TCTCTTGCTTGCTATATAGTCTCTTTCAAAAATCTCTCTTTCTAAAATCTCTCTCTACCCTCGTTTTTCTAAAACCTTCTTTTAAAACTGAGGCTAGAGGCTTGATCATACGTCGCTTAGCCGTAGGCGACGCAAGTACAAATTGGCTTAGCTCACTTGTCGTTGGAAAGTGAGTGCCGCACAATCGCTAGTCCGCTGCCTTTAAACGTGCGATTGTGTCAAGTGGTATCGATATTTTGTAAAGATTTGATAGAGATATATTTATTAGATTATATCTCCTAGGTTTAAATCTTTGGGAGAGTAAATTGAAACCATATATATACCCACTCTCTCAAGATTATTTTCTTCATTTTTTGTATTCTATGTTGTTGTACATGCCTAAAGTCATCATTAAAACCTTTAGCCAATATTCCTCCTTGTATTTTCTCTCTCTTGTTGTTTGTGTTCATCTTCATCGAGTGTATGCGTTGTTGAGTGATCCTAACAACAGGTCAGAGCTAATAACTGGTATTAGAGTGAGGCGAAATTCACCACGATTTATGAAGATGGAAAGTTCAAAAATTGGAATTGATAAGTTTGATGGATCCAATTTCAATTTCTGGAAGATGCAGATTGAAACTGTCTGTACCAGAAAGGTCTTCACAAACCCCTTGTTAGGGGTGAAGCCGGATACTATGACCACGGAGCAGTGGAAGCTCAAGGATCGTCAGGCCTTAAGGTTGATCCAGTTGACGTTATCCAAAAAAGTGGCGTTCAATATTATCAAGGAGAAGACAACGTCAGATTTGTTGAAGGCATTGTAGAATATGTACGAGAAACCGTCGGCTATGAACAAGGTGTATTTGATGCGAAAGCTGTTTAATCTACAAATGTATGAAGGTGGATTTGTTGCTGGTCATATAAATGAATTCAATATGATTACAAGTCAATTGAGTTTGGTGGATATTAACTTCGAAGATGAAATTAAGGCATTGATGAAATTCGAGATATAGTTCTTAGTGAAAGTATTCACAAACGGAAAATCGGAGATTCATCAGACAATGCTCTTAGTGTTGATCGAAGGGAAGAAGTAAATCAAAGGACCCAAACAATGGGCGATCAAAATCAAGGAACCGAGAAAAATCTCCAAACAAACCAAACGTTAAGTGTTGGAGTTGTGGAGAAAAATGTCACTTTCGGGCAGATTGTACAAAGAGGAAGCAAAATCACAAATAGAATCACAAATCAGAAGATGACTATGATTCGGTAAATTTAGTAGAAGACATTAGGGATGCTTTAATCCTCAGCGTGGACAGTTCGATTGAATCTTGGATTTTGGATTCAGGTTTATCTTTTCATTCGTCTCCAAATAAAGAGCTATTTCGAAATTTCAAGTATGGAAGTTTTAAAAAGGTGTATCTTGCCGACAACAAAGATTTGAAGATCGAAAGAAAGGGGGATGTCTGCATAAAAACTCCGGTAGGAAATCAGTAGACATTAAAGAATGTCATATATATTCCTAGTCTCAAGAAGAACCTGATCTCTATTGGTCAGTTGGATAGCACAAGTTACGTAACAGAGTTTGGGAAGAGTTCGTGGAAGATTGTTAAGGGTGCTATGGTGGTAGCACGTGGCACAAAATTTGGAACCTTATACACCACTGCAAAGTGTATGAACATAGTTGTTGTTGCTGAGAGTGTTTCAAATTCAAGTCTGTGGCATAATAGACTTGGAAGGTCTGAAATCTGTTGATATGAGTCATTGTGAGAACTGCGTTATGAGCAAACAAAAACGAGTTAGCTTCACAAATACTGTCAGAGAATTGAAGAAAGATACCGGGACAACAAAGCAAGTGGGAGTTGAGGTTGAGTTGCTGAAAGATTCACCTAGTGATGTTGTAGTAGATACTTAAGAAACTTCTGAGACTGTTGCTGAGGAACCAGAGGTGAAGTAAGTGGGAGTTGAGGTTGAGTTACTAAAAGAATCATCTAGTGATGTTGAAGCAGATATTCAATAAACTCCTGAGACTGTTGCTGAGGAACCAGAAGCAGAGCAAGTGACACCTAAGCAGGTGTTGAAAAGATCATCTAGAGCTATCAGAGTACTAGATAGATATGTACCCTCTTTACACCATCGATTGTTGACTGATGAAGGGGAACAAGAGCTCCTTGATGATGTCCTACAATTGGAGGATACAACCAAGTGGGAGCAAGCTACGAATGATGGGATGTCTAAGCTTTCGAAATGCGTTGCTCTTTCATCTGCTGAGGCTGAGTACGTGGCATTAGCTGAAGCTGGAAAGAAGATGATATGAATGACAAACTATCTAGAAGAATTGGGCAAGAAGCAACACGGGAAGATTTTTCAAGTAGATAGTTAGAGTGTCATGCAATTGGCGAGGAACCCGGTTTATCATTCAGAGACAAAACATAGAAGGTAATACCATTTCTCTCGAAGGTTAGTGGAAGATGGTAAGTGTTCTAGTTTTGATTCCATGGTTTTCACTACGACACCGTCATCTGATATCTACGTTGAAGTTAAGATTATAACCTCTATAATTAAAGATAGATTATTTTAAAACTCCAATAATTACAATTTTTCACATGAAAGTATAAATTTCTTCATAAACAAGTCGAAGTCGAACTATAGTATATATCAATTATAAGCATAAATTATAATTCGGCGGAGTCGGTGAAAGGTTCAGTCTTAGACTCAACGGATTGCTGAAGATGAACAAAGAGCTCCAGTTTGTCGATGCGCTCACGATGGCACGATTTGCAGACCAAATATAACACAGTTCCAATCAACAAGAACATCAAAAAACACCACATCCAAACAATCCCCAAACTTCCTCTGATTCCTACTTCCACCAACGCCGATTCAGCAACCACCACATAACGAATCACAGACAAAATCACTCCAAAAGGAAGACCGATCAAAATCAGAAGAATCGAAGCCATAGCCATTTTGCCGTTAAGCAATTCCTTACTTCTAGCAATGGCCTCAAATCCATACGAATCCGCTTCGAAAACTGATACAACGCTCGCGATTTGCCAAATTAGGGCAAAATAGAACATCTCAACGGAGAGAAACAAAATCAGCAATCGAGTCAAGAATTCGAACGGTTCGTAGTATAGGAGATGAAGAATCGCGATGCAGATGAGTGTAATTGCAGAAAGAGCGACGAAATTGAAGGCGAAGAAATCGACGATTAAACAGAGAAATGTGATGAGATGTTGCTTACAGATTTTCGGCACGACGCAGAGCAATTGGTGGAACGGAAGTTCGCGATCGGCGAGAGTAGAGGCGGCGGCGAAGACTGTAGCGGCGGTGGAGAGGAAGAAGAAGACGGCGGAGAAGAAGAAGAGAGCGGAGTTGAAGGGGAAAGAATGGATGCTCCATAGATTGGGGATTTTGGTTTGAGTGAAGATTATGAAGGAGAGGGGAAGAAGAAAAGAGAGAGTGATTTGAGTGAAGATTGTTTTTGCTGTGAAGATTAATTTGATGGTTTCTTTAAGAACTCCATAGATTCCAAGGAGTTGAAGCTTTTCTTGTTTCAGATTCATGAGTTTTCTGGTTGGGAAAATTGGAGGAGGAAGATGGAGAAGCAGAAAAATGGAGGATTTGTCGAGGAAGATGAAGGTTGTTTGTTAATACATGTTGACTTCTACATTGATTTGGACTAACTTGGACTAATTCCAAATTTGAGGTTTATATTTTTTTAATTATTATTTCGACCCTCGACAATAAAGATATCTTTTAATGTTTCTTAATTGTTTATGAGTGGTCTCGTGACGGACTTCTCCACCCTTCTTGTCACTTTGTACCACGACCTTACCTAAAAATCATTTTAGAAATAGAAAGGGAGCAATAATATACTTAATAAGAAACTCTGCTATTGAGGTCAAATACATAAATCATCCAAACGAAATCAAGGAACCTTAGTGGTTAATTAATCTAAACACGTAGCATGTAATTTTTTCACTAACACTATTTTCAATAATCACTCCTCAAAGTGATTATTAGTGGTGTAACCCTTATAAATATTATCAATGGTTGATTACTCGATTCATGCTACGTGTAACACTTATCTTGATGACTATTTTTTGGAATCATTCAACAAAGTGATCAATAGTGGTTGGTTACCTAATTCACACGACACACAACCATACAATAACAAATATATTTAACCCTTGTAGAAAACAAAAAATTAACAAACGTAATTTGACATAATATAATGATTCCCATAAATCATAGAGTTTTCTTGCTCACCTTCTTAGTACTACGTAGAAATTGGGTCCAATTCCAACTATATAAAAACAAAAAACGTTTCAACTTTGATGAATGATGCATTATACCTCGATTACTATACCAAAATTTAGAGATAAACATTTAGAATAAGTCATGGTTGGAAATTATACCCTAAATTCTCGTAATTAATAATTTTTATTATTTTGTTTATCATTCAATATTATCCATGATATAAAAATCTAAGGTTATTAACATAATCTAATGATCATTTCAAGTAATAACTTAAAGAATCTATAGTATATGAATAATGTTGAGTGACTTGTTTTGGTAATACTATCGATGCGACCTATTTTGCAATCGTTACAAATGATTTGATCCAAATCGTTTGACATATGAGTGAGAGTATCCTATACAATGAATTTGTATAACATTGGACCCAGAAGTATTTAATATCATTTTATAAATTAGTTAACTGAGGATATTAATATTTCACTCTTCGATCTTAATTTAAGTTATGAACTCGTGCCTGACTTGTCCTTTAATTTGTATAAATATAAATGACACTTTTAATCGATTCAATATGTCTCGTTCAAAAACATTTATGAATAAATGTACAGTAATATCATTTTTAGAAATAAATTTATAAGCAAATTGCACATCCGTCCAAACCACTTAATCGGTCCGGTCTGAAGAATAAACCGCTTCGTCGGCGCAAAACGGCTGCCAGTCTAAGAAATTATTTAAAAAGAGGGACGAAGATAAGACCGCTAGTTTAACCAAAAAGAACTTCTTCTACTGCTCTCCCGCCTCTCGGATTTTGGAGTTTCCATTTCTTGTCGCCGCATTTTCTTTGCTCAAGTATGTCTCTCTTTCTCCCTATCCTTCCTCTTTGTTTTGTTTGTTATCTTTCAAATTCATTTCTGTTTCGCATCTGTTTGGTTGCTGAGAAAATCGTGCTGAAAAACACAGAAGAATGGAGTGTTTTCGAATTTTGTAGCTTCATTATTCAGCATTTTGTTTTGGAGCTACTGGATTTGTTTGAATTAGCTGCTTGTTTGTTGACTATGTTGAGCTTAAGCTTTTTCCCAGCCAGGGGAAGTTGCAGAGTGGATTTTAGTGATAGTGGTATATATTTTTTTTGTTGTGTTCATTAATGGAGAAAACTTCTCCCGGTGAACTAAGTGTGTTTTATCGGTTTCTATCAAGTACCAATTAGTTTTGCGAAGCTTGGGTGTGGAGAATTTTCAGAATCTGTAACACATGCGACTATCGGAACCCTAATCCTGTCCGGAATTAGGGTTTTCTTCGTGCTGTTTAGATGGTTATTGAAGATGGGGAAAGCAATGGGAATTGCACGGGACGCCCTTTGGAGGTCAAGTTCATGAAGAGCGTGGCAGGAAAAAATGGAATCGGGATGGGGGTTTTGAATGTTGTAACTGAAGGGGGGGTTCCAGGAACTAGCGATGGTTTTCGAACTTACAAGCGGCGGAAGCAGACGAAGTTGGCTTTTGGGAGCGAATGCATGGGAGATGGCAAGGTTCATGTTGAAGCTGCTAGTCAACTAGTGTTCCAGGTTTCTCTCTCTCTTTCAATCTATCGCCCTTTCAATTAATCATGCGCACCTATTCAGTATACTCCAAATTATTTCTTGTTGATTTAGTGTTGTTTGTTGGATTTAATCTTGGCTATGCGTACTTGCATTCAAGACTGGAAGTTCTATGAAATCTAACTGACTATGAATCGTGTTGAATTCATAAAGTATCAGGGAAAAGTTAGAACTTGATATTTTGGATTCTACTCACAGAACTTCACCTGTGGACATTATAAAAATGTAATGATATCTACTTTAAATGAAAATGTTCTCAAGGTAAAAGGAGGGTGGATAGGAAAAGTTGTCAATCTGCTTTCAAATTCATCAATATATACTGCCCCATACTAGGTGGTAAACATTTAGGTGAACTGATAAATTTTTTGTCAGATGGTAGGAGACTTGGAATGTATTGTTGCAGCAACCAGATTTGGTGCGATGAAACCCTTCAAGAATATTCTTTTCCTTTAGGAATTTGGAAGAATTAATGCTTTTGATTGTGTTTTGGGGCAAAGAAAATGGGTCAGTTGTTATCTAATTCTGAACCGTATCAAGGATTAGATATGTAAATCCATGGATGCATTAACTTTAAGTTTTTGTAGATCTTTGGTGGATATTTTATCCAGTCCTTATTGTAATTTTGCCTTGTGAATAGTTATTTTTGAAAAAGAAACTTTCTGTTCATCAATAAAAATACAATTGTGATGAGTTAACCATTGATTTTTTTTTTCTAATTGCAATTTTCGAAGTGATTGCGGACAAGTTTCTTGATAATTCTGTTGTTCAGGAAACATTTTTCAAATTTTCCAATGGGATTTATTTGTCTCACGTTCACCAAAAAGAGAATGTTTAATAGGATTATGCTACTTTTTTTGGAGAGAAACTTGGTGGTATTCAGTTTACTTGAAACAGGATAAACTTGTTTAAAAGGATCCTATTATTCACCCGACCATCCAAGGAAGTTGTTTAAAAGGCCAAATTCTTTTGGTTAATTGTACCACCAAGTTTCTCTCCAAAAAAGGCCAAATTCTTTTGGTTAATTGGACTCTTGCAATTATTAGAAATTTTCTTAGGGTGTAAGAGGAATATTTTAGACATAGGAGTTCGAATACGCTTGACTCAGGAACACAAAAATGGAGATGCTATATGAAATGACATTTATATATTGACACATTATTTTAAAAAATGAGGACTTCGTTGAACGAAAGGACATAAAAATAGAGTATTTTTCTATGTATATATCTATAAAAAGATTTAAACATGGCTATCTATTTATCTTTCAACAAGGATTTTTTTAATGAGGTTATCTGTGTTTTCTTATTGCATGACCCAGTTCCTAATCATATTATCTCTTTTCTCTTTCTAACGCCAATGTGTCATTATCTTCAGAAACATTTGGGTGCTTTTTGTTGTTGCTGGTATTTGTGGTTTCGGGTCTAATTTGTTATTCCATTGGGAGACTTTGCGTGCTCCAACACTAGCTTTGGAGACGTCAAGAACTTCCAATTATCAGTTCTCCATTTCGATGTTTGAACCAAAGACCTTGATAATCTTCTCCAAACATCCCAAATCCTTATCAATGGTGCTGCTCCTTGGGGGCCATGGGGCAGTGTGTCACACATTCCTTGGATGGTCAAGGACAAAAAAGGAAGTTTTTTGGATTTGTCATATTTTCCTACTTTATGGGCAGTTTGGTTGTAGATAAATAAAACAAATCTCAAAAGTTTAGAGGAATCTTTGGATGAAGTATGGTTTTTCGTGTTTATCATATAGTTACTGTTATACAAATAAAATGAAGAAACATCTGATTTACATAAAGTTATCTGACGAAACAGACCAAAAATAAAATTCTCTCTACATCTTTGAACGTTTAGATGCTTTGGTATGTGGTCTGTTGGTTTTTTCTTGTCTCATTCTATTTCCATTTGTTGCAGACTGTTCAAGAAACTTTATACACGCTAAGAGGCAGTAACTCCTGTGATCATGTCCATTCTCCAATGGTCAATTTAGATGAGTGCCCAGAGGACCTCTGGAGATCTGTTTTGTTACAGCAGATATACCAGTCATCAAGTGTCAATGGAGGCAATGTACACGATGGCCTTGCTTCTCATTCAGGAGCCATTGACCCCTCAAGATTTAAGGTTAGTTTAAAACATGTTTTTCATGCAGATCTTGTTCTGTAGCTTTCTTCCTTTTTTTATTTGTTCAGTTTTTAAAATAATCTTGGTTCTCCTTCTGTGATTGTTGTGCAGATATTTGATGCTCAACATGGAAATAGCAATATTGACCTTCTACGTACTGGATCAGTGTCTAGTAGAGTTCAGATGGCATCTCATAAAGAGAATGGTGTTGTATCAAGTGGATCATTAGAAAATTCGAACAGATGTAGTGTTAGTGAGAGTTGCTGGCGAGCTTTCTTTAGTATTATAGATTCACAGAAGTTTATCTCATTGTGTAAGCTTCTATCTGAAAATTTCAGAGGAATCAAGGCTGATAATGTTTTTGACTTTAGTCTTGTAAACTCAAGGATCAAAGAAGGGGCTTATGGAAACTCACCCATGCTCTTCCTCTCTGACGTACAACAGGCAATAATTGATTATCTTGTTCTACTTTTTATTGTTAACATTATGATATATTTTTGCTGAATTTCTTGTGAAACTTCTTAATAAAAGTGCTTGTAAAATGAACTAAATATCTATTTTCTGGGTATATGAGGATCAACTAGTTTTTATAATTTTTTCATGTGTAATGCCTGCCCTCTAACCATTTCTGACTGTCCCTAATATATATTTCAGTCGACATTCCATCATTCATATTGAAAAAACTGTTTGTTTTCTTATTATTTTTTTTCAGCATTCTCTTGGGTTTCATTCTAGGTTCCAAACCTGCTGTTCTCCATTTTTTTTATGATTTATAAACTTGGGGAAATTTGAATACTATTTGTTGGCGTTGGAATTGTACTTTCAACCACAGGTGCACTCCGTTGCAATGTTGATTTGCCATTAATAGCAGTTATGTTTGATTTTTTTTCAGATATGGAGAAAGTTTCAAGCAATTGGTACTGAGTTGGTATCACTGGCAGAAAGCCTCTCAGACTTTTCCAGAGCCGCTTATCAAGAAAAGGTAAAACAAGTATCTTTAGCAGTTGATAAGATCTTATAAAAATGGCTTAAGTTACAAGTTTCATCCCCCTCTCCCTTATAGTTTGATAAAATTTTAATCCGTAGGGACTAATTCTTACATTTAAAACCATCGTGACTAAATTTAAAATTTTTCAAAACCACAAAGACCAAATTTGTAATTTAAACTATAAAAATTGTAGACTATATGTTTTAATCATCTGTTTCCTAGTTAAAAGTTGTTTCAAGTGATCCTTCTATCTTATATTCTCTTATAATTTTCAACCTTCCAGGTGGGAGTTTCAGGACGCAATGTATTTGAAGATGGGAAGCATGAGGTAAAAATGTTTGTTTTATTTTGCATTTTGTATTATTGGTTTAAAAAATTGCACAGAAACTTAAAACTATATTGCTTTAGTCAAATATGTGAGAATAATGAGGATTGAAACACTTAAGACACCACGTAGTTCTAATACTTTGTCGATTTAAACCAAGTTCCAGTTTTCTAAAATTCACTATATTTTCATGAATATCTGCCATTCTGCTAATATGCGGCTCCACCCATTAAGAGCTAGTAGAACCCTTTGTCTGTCACCATTGAAGAGGTTGTCACGATTTTGTATGGGGAAGTGGAATGAAAATTGCAGAGAAGAGGGAGTACTGTTTGAGTTCATTCTTCAGCTGAGCTCTATTCTTCATCTGGGCGATCTCAACTTTCCTTTTGTAATCTTCTGCGTCAGAAAAATATTAAGTTTATTGTCAACTATCCTAGATGCTATGTGGACTTGCATTCAAATTTTTTGTGAGAAAGTAGAGCACTGGATGTATTGGATACCCGTGAATTTGGGATGGGGATGGGATATTCAAGGTTTCATGTAGCTGTAGGTTAAGTTTGAGACTGGACACTTAGCGACGGTGAATTCTCCTTGCCTTGGTTCATCCTTTATAGTCAAGACCACCATTTACCACTTTCTTCAATGGTTCCTCTAAGTGACACCTCGTTTGGATCTTGGGATCTTGAGGTCCTAGGTCTACCTTCTTAATCATCAACCTCATCTATATAATGTTTCATGCAGGCAGGATTTTCTCACGTCCATCATCCATGTACAATATGTCTGTCTTCCAAATACCTAAAAACCAACAGTGTGACTTGTTAGATGGAAAAATTAAAAATTTTTCTTTGGAATGCTACAGGGAAGGGAGTTATGTCACGTAGTTAATTGGAATATAATTTCATTACCGTTGGGGAGTGTTAGATTAGGCATTGAAAATTTGAAAGTAGAAACAAGAGGAACTTCTAACAAAATGGCTTTGCAGATTCTAGAAAAAATGTGGTGAACCATGGACTTAGTATTATCTAGTATTTGAGCTTGAGAAGGCTATATCTTTTTGGCTTAGGCTGTTTGGCCTGTCCCATTAATGAGACAAAATGTCTTACCAAAGAGAGGTAAGGTGGGAGCAGTTGGTGGAATATTGTCAAGCTGAAGGGAACACGGAGAATATCTCCTATATTTATTTATTGTGAAACAAAAGTTAGCCTTTAATTACTAAGGACATAAAAATGAGTACAGCATAAAGCTCCATAACTTTTGATCATCATCCATTGTTTTATTAATAGAGTAACATCTATTTGTTTGATGTAAGGAAGATTATTATTTCCCAAACCAATTGTTTGCCATTTCGATCTCTTGATCCAGATACCCTAAAATTTAGCTTTAAGCTTATTGATCCATGGTACTTTAGGTATTCTTTTAGGCTTATGCCGACAAAAGAGATGGAAGATATTATTTTTGACAAAGTTAAATATCTAGGAGCATCCAAAGCCTTGTATTGGCTCCCACAGTTTTTTGCTAACGGAATAATGAAAAGGTAGATGAGGAGGTCTTCTCTTTATTAGGTAAGGATACTCTTTACAATCTGTCAGCTATATTTACCTTCTTGACTGAGAGAATCCTTGTCAAAATAGTAACCTTTTTAAGTATTCTTTATCTTCCATGGTGCAAGCTCAAAACTCTTGGGTATTAAATAGAGGAGCGACAACTAATTCTCTTATTTGAGAAACTGAGCTTTCATTCAAAAAATAAAAGAAAGAAATAGAAAAAGGAAATAAAAGCAAATGGTAGGGTATTCAGGAAGACGACCTAACAAAGGAGCCTCGAACCTAATTATAGAAAAAGAGGCTTCAGTTCAAGATCATTAGACCCAGTGGATAATTACAGAAATCCTTAGAGACCGATGCCTACGTAGAGACATTATACCTAACAAGCCTTCTAATAACACTTCACATCCCTATCTTGTTATTCCTTTCAATCTAGAAGTTCCAAAGAACTATGAAGAAGGGGTCACAAGATTTGGCCCCTAGAACAGAAAGGTGGATTACAAAGAACCTCCTCCGCCATAGAGCTGTAAACTTTGCTCCTAGCAAACAGAAGTAAAATAGCGGGAAAAAAATCCCAAATATAACAAACAAATTGACAAAAATATGATCTAGGTCCTCAACCGCTCTCTTCCAAAGAACTCACTGATGTGGATCCACCACGAAGGATGAGTGCCTCAAAACACAATTCAGGGTGTTCACCCTTCGACCCAAACTTGCCTTAGAAAGAAGTTGACATTTGGGATTTTAGCCTTCCACAGTAGGAAAATGAGGGATTTCACATGGTGGGATCACATAAAAGATGGAATGTCATGTTAGGAGCTTCAAGGTCTGATTAGGAACTTCATGGTCTGACTTTTGGGGCCATCTGGCTTATAGTTGGTGGGTTCTCCTACCTCATGAGTTTGGTTATCCAAGCTTTGAAAAGATCAAGAAAGGATGGTTTGCTTTCCTCTCCAAATGGATGTTAGAGGTTTGCAAACGAGAAAATGATCTTTGAAAGAAGCTTGTTAGCATTATGGTTTAAGAGATCATGGGTGGACTGCTAATTAATTGTTTACTAGTTAATGTTAATGAAATATTGTTTTATAAATTAAAACTAACCAATTATCAATTGATTGAATAAATTAGATTATTTATCAGTCAATTGGTCTCAACATACTTTTGCCAACTAAATTCAATTGTTGATCTAAATTAAATAGATTTTACATTAACTTTAATCCTCTTTTATCAGTTAAAATTAATTATTGAATCAATTTACTAAAATTAATATTTAATATTTATTCTACTATTAAATAAAAAATAAAAAATGAAACTTAATTTCCATTGGATTAATATGGCTATGTGGATATGCCTTGTTGATTGCTGAACATGTGGATGGGTTTTGAGTACCCATGGGAAAAAAGAAAAATTCTGGACAGCCCATTAGAGAATGCTGAAATGACGAAGCACTAGGGTTGGAGAAGGAAAATTCTTAGACATGGATTTCAATAAATGGCTGGTTCTTCCCATGAAGCTGAGGCACACCGTTCATAGTTGGAGGAACATTAGTGTGGATTAGACTCCTGGGGTACTTTTTCCATGCAAGCCCACCTACTCTTCACCTTAATACTGGAAAGCACATTATTGGGATGATTGGAAGGGAAATATTCCTAGGAAAGTCGAGTTCTTTTTGTGATCCTTACTTACCATGCTAGTATCTCAACAATGGTAACAGTTTGAAGAAAAGGACCCATGTTTTTATTCGTTCCAGTTTTGCCTGAATTGTTTGGGAGACCACAATTGCAATATTCAATAGTAGTCAGTTTGTTTATTCCTGCTGGTCTTTTTTATGCTGTAACATTGGGATGGTTTAGTGCTGTCCTAGAGATATCAATACTTTCCTCTCAAGCTTTGCCCGGATGGTTCTATGTTAACCTTTGATGTAACTTCTCTACCTTTTTCATTCTCATTAAATTAGGGGTCTTTTACTACTCCCCTTTGGCTTGGGCCTCCGTGCTCTCTTTTTTCTACTCTGGTTCTTCTATTTTAAATAAATTTATTTTTTATTATGCTAAAAAAAGGAATATATCTTTTTAATAAACTAATGACTTCACATTGTAATGTAAATAACTGTAGTGCAAATATCAGCAGTATATCATAATCGGATTTCAACCTCTTGACAATTAAGAACACTTCTAAACCTTGTCCTAGTTATGACTTCACATTGTCCTAAGTGCATTTTAAAGGGTTTGTTAACATCATTGAAGCTAATTTTCCAATTGTCCTCATGAATTCATCGGTTAGGGTTGGATTTTTAAAATAATTTGTTATTTTTGCTGACATGCAAATTTCTTGTCCATCTAGTTCTCTACGCGGGAATCACCTTCTCATGCTAAAGCAGAGCATATGGATGGTTATGGTGTGTATAAAGTTTGTGCCTGCAGAAGTTGTGGAGAGAAAGCAGAAGGGATTGATTGTCTGGTTTGTGATTCATGCGAGGAAATTTACCATATATCTTGCATCAAACCTCCCGTCAAGGAGATTCCCCTTAAGAGTTGGTTCTGTGCTAGTTGCATTTCAAGCGGATTTAGTTTGTGTCATGACAACTGTGTAGTATGTGAGAGGTTGAATACGCCCACAATGCTAGCCAATGGAGTTGGTGAAATTCTGGAAACTAGTGAAGTCAATGAGAATCTGAACTGTTGTTTAGATGATGGAATTGAACAACTAAATGACAGCAAAGATTTGGGCCCTTGCAAAATTTGTGGAAATGGAGTAGAAAGTGGTGATAATTTTAGAATATGCAGCCACCTGTTCTGCCCTCACAAATGTTATCACACCAGGTGCTTGACAAAGAAACAGTTAAAATCTTACGATACATGCTGGTACTGCCCTTCTTGTCTTTGCAGAGCATGCCTCATAAATCAAGATGATGACAAGATTGTTTTATGTGATGGCTGCGATCATGGATACCACATTTACTGTATGAGACCACCACTTGCTGAAATTCCAAAAGGAAAATGGTTTTGTAGCAAATGTGAAGCTGGAATTGAGGCAATACGTAGGGTGAAAAGGGCATATGAGAATTTTGAACACAAGCGAAGTAAGAGAGGGAAAAATACATTTGGGGGTTATGGCAATTCAGGCAAGAAACGGATCAATGGAGGTGATCAGGAATCGGATACAGGAAGGAGAGGAATGGACATGCTTCTTACTGCGGCCAAGACCCTAAATTATGAAGAGGGTCTGGCTAACCTTTGATATAAATAGTTGATAAGAGAGAAGGTCTGAAGCACAAATTATTTCATGCTGACTGATTACACATTTTAATCTCTTAGAATTTTGTTTTATTATGTTCATGGACTCGATAGGTTTTGGACATTTAGGCATGCTGACTTTTTGGGAGATTATAACTTGGAATGATGTATGTAGTCTGTGTAAAAGAAACTTGGCACATCTTAAACTGAAGATTCTGAGAAACCAGGACGCTGTTTGATTAAAAGGAGATCTAGGTGAGAATCAACCATGTATGGTTTTACTCATTTTGTACCATGAGAGGTATATAATCTCCAAGGATTGGGAGAAGGCCGACGTTTCGGTTCTATTGTAAAATTCATTTAACACAATGACAACCAGAGGAATGATGCCTTTTGTACGTATTCTTAGGCTTTCTTTGGATATATATTTATTATATTATCATTTGTAATGTATGCTATATTTTGGGATTTTGTATCTAATGTCGAATTCTGTGTTCTTTCTTCAACATATCATGTGCCTTCATAGGATGACTATTTATTTTCTTAAGCTCTTTCTAATTTACAGCATTTAAATGTCAACTTTGAGATTTATTTGATCCAGCCATGTTTAGAAAAAGCATATATAGATATATCTGGAAAAGCAGGTTCTCCAAAGCTAGTGACGGCAAGATCAACGACGATCCTTTAGCTGAAAGTGAAGAATGCGAGGTAAAGTTAATTTGAACCTTAATCTTACTTTCCATGAAATAGAATGGTAATATTGGCTGAAGCAATGTTCAAGTAACTCTTTATCGACGCCCATACTAACTCCGAAAGTTGTTGTGCAAGGTGATGAAGGACTTTCCTAGTCTCTTTTCATGCTTGCTAGCCTCCTTCCCAACGGATGAGGACACATGAAACAGCGGTGGATTTTGATAGAAAGGGGCCACTGTGTTCCATAGGCAATCTTTTCTACTTGTTTGGGGATGGGTATTGCAAATTGAACTCATTTTGTTTAGTATGCATGGAACATTATCTATAAGGCAGTAGTTTAGGGAAAACTAGCTCGCCATATGCAACCGTGCTTGCTTTTGACCTCTCCAATAATATATTTGATGGTTTTCTTCAAGTTATGGAGGAGCTGTCTGGCCAAAGTAGCTCAAAAAATGGAGGTAAACCCAGCTTACATCATTATCCTTGGTAGTAAGTTTCATGTAACTGGAGTAACGTTGTTGGGTAAGCTTCAACCCGCACGAAAGGCATAATGATCTGGCTAGTCTGAACTCTAGGGACCATTGAATTCTGAAGAATGTCACCAGAAAGTGCTCAGTGTGGTGCTTATTAAAGATGGCACTAACAGGTGAATATGTGATGATAAATGTAGAATTTGGATATGTTTATGTATGCAGAAAGTGACACTTCAAAATAACAATGCAGGCTATTATATGTGGAAGCAGTGACCAAGTTTGAGGATGTTGAAAAAGTAAGATTGAATATCTTCCGATGAATACGAATCATGGAAATAGTGTCTAGTAGTCATAATGAGTAGAAGCTGGTGAAGTTGAGGCAATGAAGTACGAAATTATTTGAAGATGGGCTTCTATCATATTCAAAGTTTCAATCGAAGCATTGCGAGCAAATGCCTACTAAGGTAAGAACTTGACAGACTTGATTTGCATATCTATTCTACTTTGTTTACTAAGCTTTGTCTTAACTTGTAAAATAACTTGCTTGATCCTTAACTATTATTTTATACATTTTAGACCTCAAAAAAACAAAACAAAAACATGAACTGAAAATAGAAAGACTAATATAGAAAAAAAAAATCTAGTTTTGTAAGGTATTATAAGAAATGTAACATTTGGTTTCCATTTACAACTACAAACCATTTACAAATCATCATAGAGAGGAGCCTTAAGATAGGAAAACTAAAGGCCATGTGGAAAGAACATTGCCCCATCTCCTAACCTACAAAGCTATCAACTCAGCCTAAGAGTAAGCAGATTGACGTTCAAAATGCAGTTAAGTTCCATCCACGCCATAGGTAGAATGGATGAGTAAAAGGATGCCATGGAGTGAGGAATATCTCGTCTCATGTAAGACAATAAAATGCACCTCGAGGTGTTGTCGAGGAACTGCAGGCCTGCTCGAGCATAAGATGAGCAATTGAGATCTCGAGCTAGCCTATTTGTTATGGGAAACCAATGCTTTAGCCTGAGTATAGCTTACCTCGCACACCTGATTGGAACTTCAGGAACTTCTAGCTTGACACTCTTTCTTATGATTTAGAAGGGTAGAGCAACACAAGCATTGAACTTCCTCGGAACAATAATAACAAAATCTCCTCTCAAGAAAATCTTGCTGGTGAATCTGTCCTCGTTCACATGTGCGTTTTTCTCAACTCTTACCAGTTTTTGGAACCTAAATACAAAGCCACATCAGAAAGAGACTCCTAGAAGAGGCACTTCATATACCATGTCCAAATGTGTCATGTCATAGTTAATCAATGTTGCTCTACCCACACAATAGCATTTATTTATTTATTTATTTTTTAAGCAGAATTTGCGATTGTGTGACACTCACTCCTAACACCTAGTGAGTCAAGCCAACTGGCAGCAATTGTTCCGCACTCACTCCCAACACCACTGAGTGAGTCAAGCCAACTTGAATTCAAGTTGCATACGGTCAAGCAATGTATACTCTATACTCTAGCTTATATTCCTGTTTTGAGAAGAAAGTTTTAGAAAATAGAGATTGAGACTTTCGAAAGGAGTTTAAATGTAAGAATGAGAGAAGATTTGAAAGCAACATTATAACTTTTTTGGGCTGGAAGAATTTGACAATTAGTCACATCCCTTATAGCACATTTTGAGACAATTCCAATATGTCAGAGGTATGTCAGATCCAGACATGATTTCACCAAACAGTTATACAAGTTTCCTATGGTACATTTTGAGGTAATTCAGATCTAGAAGAACTAGACATGATTAAGTCGAGTAGTCGTTCAAATAGTAAATAGAATAATACAACATGAAAAATATAGTAAAAGTAATACATGAAGGTATTACTTTTTGTTGAGAAAATGAGAAGAGAGAAAGAAATTGAGTACAGCCTCTTCAGTTCAGGTCTCCAAATTGTTTCCCCATGGAGAATATCGGAAGAACTAAAGTTAAATTTTGTGATCATCTTTAGAGGCAACATAAAGAAACGAAGAACACATCAATTTTTTTTTTAAAAATGTAAAAACTATTCGGACGCGGTGAAACACGAAAAAAAAATCATTCGCCACAAAAACAACATTCTTCAGTTACAGTAAATGAAAAGAACCTAAAACATTTGCCAATCAAATCAAACTGTACAAATGGAGGTGGGAAGAACTACAAATATGACACAAATAGAGGGAAATTTATAGAGAGACAGCAGTAAAAGGGTAGCCGCAACAACCCTATCCATGGAATTGGAGTTGGGTAGGGGTGTACATGGGTGAAGTTGTGGTGAGTACATTTTTTTCTCCTATGGTGACTATTCTAAGCGGGTAATTGGATATGTATTTAATTTCCTACATACGATCCATACGTGCGAGTATGGACCCACCAGTCGGTTCGCACATCTCCTGGACCCTTTTCTGGTCGGGCGAACATTTTCTGGTAGCTGTTGATGTCGGACACCCGTTAGGAATAGCGACTATCATGACAGCATTATGATATACATAATGATTGTTTTTCTGTCTTGTAGAGACGCATACTATCGTAAAAGGAGAAGGGGTATCCCTTATGCATGAACACACAATAATGCATAAGATCCCAACAACTTTATATTTTTCATTATCATATACTATAACCCACTAGTGTCTTCCTTTATATCATATCATTTTTATCATATCTTTCATGCGTGTATCAGGGTTGTATTTCATGCCAATACGTCATTTTTGCATGTCAATTATATCATATATCATTTATATCAAACATAAACGATATCATAACTTATCATGTCTGTGTACGTAACAATTCACATTATGCACATATCATACCATACCATATATCATAACAGTCACATAACATAACCAAAGCATGCCTTCAACATATTATATCATAAACATATCAATTCATCGTATACAACATAATATTCACGTATCATATTATATACATATCATTTCATAAGAGTTTGCATGTACGGGCATATAACACGTGCGAAGCCACGAGCATGTGTCATCATACAATACTCAATTATAATCAAATCGATGGTAGGGTCATTTACTTGATTGGTTTTAGCCAGGTTTTTTCATAAGTTTAAATTCTTTCGCTTCTCGTTCCTTGAAATTGCTCCAAATATCGCCGATTGTTATTTCTTAATAGAAAGTTCACCCCGTTTCGTTAATAACTCAATTTAACATAAATCAAGAAATTTAACCTTATACTAAACTTAATTACCTTAAACAAGGTTAAATTCAGCTTCAGGATGGTCGAAACGGTAGAAAATTGTGTATTTTTTCTTTACCGAGCCGAGAAGCTAATTTTTGAGCCGCGGAGCCGAGCCATTTAAGCCAAGGGTGCTTTTTGCTGCACGTGTGACATGTGATGCAATGGGGCGCTGATGCGTGTGCAAGTCGAGTCGGGTCAAGGTGCGAGTTGCGAGTTGGTGTTGGGTTGCTGCGGGTACTAGGTCGTTGCAGATGCTGCACCGTTGCAAGTGGGCCGGGGCTGTATGTTGAGCAGATGTTGTTCGGGTAGTGGGTTGCAGGCGTGCGATCTAGGTTGCCGATGGTATTGGGTTATCTGTTGTTTACCCAATTCGGATCCGACCCGAAATCCACGGACTTCTTCTTCCTTACTCAAATTATCGCGAAAATTCGACTTGTAATCACCTATAACAACGTAGATCTATGAGGTCCCAAAAATCTGAAACCCGCATTTCATTTTCGAGTTAAGGTATGGAAACATACCTCCTGTGTATGTGTATGGAAACATACTACTCGAATATTATATATTTTATAACTAATTCAAACTAAAATAAATTGCACTAAATTATGACACATTTAACAATGTTTCCGGCTAAGACAATAACTCTTATGTAAAGATGACAACATCAGAGATCATCGAATCAAATCACGATAGTCAAATTCCACATTTAAGTTGTAGTCATTCTGTTAGGATATGTAAATAACATTCATTTCTAAACTATGATAAAGAGACGTATTTTCAACTATGTTATTTTTAATAATTCATAAATTTATGAAGAATGAAATATTTTAAAGTAAATTATTGAAAATGATTTTCTGCATAAATTTGTAATGACATGTATGTAGTCGTAACGTGTATGGTCACAACAACGTGTATCTATTTTAATAAAAATATTTGGTGGCATATTGAATTAAAATAAAATTAATAGATTCCTAAATAATTATGAATAAATTTATAAATAATTATAAATAAAATTATTTCAGTTAAATATATAAATATATATTATTTATTTATTTAATTCAATAACAAATATTGCAATTTTTCATTTTAGTTATCTTTTCTTATCT